GGCATTCGGGAGGATGGATGTGGTGTTGACCTATAACTTACAACAGGGAACAACAGCCAGAGCTGTTGGCAATAATAATATTGTCCGTTTATCAAAACCATTTTATTACTGCTTATTTACTGCAGAGAAATGTACTGGCTGTATAATGCTCTTGCCCTAAATGGAAATATTTGTCAGTTGAGTTGATCGCATGAGTTCTTCCATGCAGACACACTCTCACGTGATATTCCTCTTTTGCCTATGATATTATTATGCAAATGTTTGTTTTCTGTAGGTCTCCGTGGTGGCACAATCTTAGTTTGATTCCTGTTCCCACTGGATAGGGAGATCATTATTCTGGTGACATGAGTACAAAGAGAAGGACCTGGTAATGCAGTCGAAGATTATGAGCCTAAAGGTTTAACAAAATAAAGGAGATAAATTAGATGAGTGGCTAATCTGTTTTAATTCTGGATTAACATTTTAAAGTATGCTTTTCTCAAGGAACTTGGAAAGTGTGTGTGTGTGTAATTAGAAATGCAGTAGTAGAAATAAGGGTTAATGTGTTGTGTTTTAGAATAATGTAATGAAATATCAAGAGTAATGAAGGTTGATGCATGAGTCTTTTCTGAAGCATACTTGGAGAGCCCTTGCAGGTCTTTACCTATCTTTTGTATTATTATTATACATGTATATTTTTAAATGTGCTTGCACTGCACAGTTCTTTAGATCTCCTCTGCATATGGATAGTTCCAAAGTCAGAACAGCTCATCCTTTACAGTGCTCTCATGCTCTTTCAGCAGAAGTCGGGCCATTGTGATATTTATCTGAATTCAAACAAGGCTAATTAAAAGAGCTACTGACAGTTGTTGTGATCCGACTTTGACTGCAGCTTGATGGTCATTATGGGTAAATAATGAACCAGGCCTGCAAATGTAGCAGCTGCCAACTTGGGGTAGAAGAACAGCTATTGCTACCAATTTAAAGATCTATCGACCACTTCTTTTTCCCCCTACAGATTCTCTGCAGAAAAATAATGCTTTCTGCTGCTTTGTTTGGTCATTACCAAACAAAGCGGCTACTGTAGAGTTATTATATGATTCCTTTCTTAATATTTATGTTACTGTTTGAAATTAAATTTTCTGATTGAGAGCCTGCTTATTTTGGGAACAATTATAGCAAAATGCTGTTTGTATGCATTGCATATTGTTATAAATGTAATTGATATATTCAGTTGGCTGATGTTTCTTTACATATAGTTTTCTGGAATAGTAAAACTGATTATTTTTCTAGCTGTTTCTGAGTGTAATTACCGTAATAAGCTGCAGTATTAATGTCAAATCTTCTTCCCTTTTATATTTTGAGTATATCAGCAAAGTGAGAAATGATCTGATCAAGAGCTTTGCTTGTCAACTGCAGGAAAACTGCTGTTTTGTTCATTATGAGGCATTTTAAATTGTCACTTCCTTATGCTTTGCCATGACCCATTAGGAAGCAGAAAACCTGCAGTAAAAGGAATGGACAGAGAAAGACTGTATTCATATATGAATCCAGCTTCATGTTCAGAATCCTACGAATTAAAAGTATATATCAGATTGTAAACGTCCTGTTGTAGTTTCATAGATTGTGCCTGTCGTGTTAAGAGTAGCTATGCAACATTTGTTTTAGCTGCCATTATTAAAGGTAGTGTGCATTAGACAAAATGTAAAGGGTGTGCTTAAACATCGTGCATAATGCAGCAGAGCCAGAAATCTTGCTGGGAGAAAATGATCCCAAACATGCCCCCAAAAGACAAGTCTTTTCTTGAGAAATAATGATGAAAAATTGCTCATTTAAATGTCTCCTTGTTTTTCAGAAGAATACGAAGTTTATGTTGTTGTCTGCACAACCATGTTGCTTGTTATTTAGGGAGATGTACCATGAGTCTTTATGTGTGTGCATTGTGCATGCACACATGCATATGCTTCTACCTTTTCTTTCCTGGGTGGAACCAGCAGTATATGAAAACAGAGGCTGTGTTGTGCTGGTTTATGTTAAACCGGATCACCCCGAAACATGTGTACAGCCATTCATCTGTGTCACCAAAACCCAAGAGAACAGCTGACATCGACTCTGAAACCAAAACAGTGATCACTTACAAATCAAACATGGCACGCTCTAAACTGATTGTTCACGGCAATCTTTTTCTAGAAAGGGCAACTAATTGAACATGATAAAGTATAAAGTTAATTAACGCCCTTAAATTTGTTGATTACTTTTCACGGGATTATATTGTTCTGTTGAGTAGCAGCTTTCTGTCCCAGCTGTCGCCTTTTTAGCACGAATGTCACTGGTAAACAATAGAGACACCATAACAAGTCGTAAATGGTCCCTGTGACAGCAGACCCTTGTGAGGCTGCATCTGTAGAAAATGATTAAAACAATTGCATTTTAAAGACAGTTCACATAGCAGCCTGCTCCCCTCGGTCCTCTTCGTTATCTCATCTGATGGCAGACTAGTTAAAACATTTAAGTGCATTTTAGTAAATTAAGTGATTTACTGGCTTCAATGAAGTAGGCTTAAATGTTTGTTGAAGGAGCTGTCCTATTCAAATTGCTCATTTTCAACCTGAAGTACATCTCCATACACATTTCATCCAATCTAAAGTGAAATGAAATGAATGATTACATACGATAATTTATGAAGTTGTAAACTAAATTTTTAATCTATGCAACACTATAATCTAAATCCCTTAAATATAGGATTGTGTGCGCACATGTGTGTAAACACACACACACATTTATGTATACATATATACACCTATACACAGATTCTTAATGGCACAATTTGGTTTCCCACGTGAGTTGTTCAAATAATTCATGCTTTATAGGAAAACATGTAGTAAATTGTACAAGTGCAATCTTACTTCTTAATATGGAATGTTTTTGACCCAACCTGCCAAATATAAATCTTGCTACAGTCATCGAGGCCTCGTCACAACCAGATTAGACTACTGAAGTGCATTTTCCATGGATCTGCCTTTAAATCTGGTTTGGAGACTTTGGTAGGAACAGAATGCTGATGGTCACTACCTATATACTTGAAGTCACATAACATCGGGCGGAAAGATATTGCAAGAAAAAAGTTTAAGAAGCAGACGATCTGGGTTTAAGAAGTCCTGCTTTAAGACCCCTTCTAGACAGCCATATAAAATCCAGATTATGTGATTGAAGTGGATTATATGAGTCTACATTGCCATATAATCCAGTTCAAAGCAAATAAGCAAATAGGTATAAAAATCAAACATTTACTGATGATAAATCAGCATTTGCAAGGCCTGCTAAACAAATTTTCCTTTTTGCAGATCAGAGCTGAAGCATTTTCTTCCAAGTCCACTGTAAACACTGCACATTATTGCTAACATATATGTGTAAATGGGTGGCATTCAGAAACCTTTTATTTTTGCCAAATTTTCACGACTCCAACATTGAGCTAAGAGGGTCCCATTTGGGGTCAGGACCCACAGTTTAAGAAGAAATGGCCTAGGAAGACTATATGATCAAAACAGATGATGCTGATTGTGTTCCACATGCACCCATTGTCACTGAGTTTGTGAGCTAAATTTAAACTGCTGGCTGATCCCATTAAAATCCTTGAGTATTCCTTCAACCATGGTGTCAAATGGGAATGGTACTTCAGTGTCATTAAAAATGTTGATAGACATTTTCAAAGCTTATTTGAGACATGTTCATACATATATCTTCCGGACAGTTTTTCCCAAACTCCAGGAGTTTTGGATCCAATCTCTCAGAATCCCTGATCATCGAACAAAGCATCTGAAGATCTTTATGTTCAAAATACTAGAGTTTTAAGACAAAGATTTTACTTTCAATTTTATCATTCAGTACTTGAAGATTTTTCACTTTGCTCACCATTGCTCCAACATAACTAATAGTTTTATGATTCTTTTACTAGATATATTAATGTGGTCTTTACCATTGCTGTTTCCAGTTTGATAGCAATTGTTTATACTATTTTGAGGGCAAGTAACTGTGCCGTCACTTTTGTCTTAGTTGGTATGTAACTCCTAACTGAAACTTTAGGTGTCATGAGCATCTAATTTGGAAAATTTAGAAGGGCTACTGTTTTGAATTGGATGTCCAAATGGCCAGAATGTCGCTTCCGGTAGTGACCCTGCTGGGATTTGTAGTCCAAAAGATAATTTTACCAAATTTACCAAATTCTGGATTACTTGAGATACAACAAATACTGGATCAACAAAGTCTTGTATACACTTAAGAATAACCATCCTTTAGTTATGTTGGATTCCATGTAATACACAGGATTTAGAAGGAGATCTAAACTTTTGACTCCATATTTTCCTGCATCAAGTTATTACAGTTCGTGGAGAGAGAGAGAGATAGTAAGAACATGGATAATGAAATCCTACTTGAACTTTTTATTTTGAAACCAATTGAGAATAGTTGAATATACATACAACACTATTTCCACAGCCTCATTTATTAATATGCAACCAGATATTTTCTGGGTCCTCCTCAGCACTCTAAAATGACTAGAAGTGAGCTTTTAAAAATTGCCTCCACTTTCCATCTGAAAAGTTTCTTATCTAATGGTTTGCAGCGTGGAATACATGAAATGCAGTTGAATACATATTGTTATGTTATTTGCTGCAACTGGTTCTTAAAGACGTGTTCTAATCCTGTCAATTGCTATCTGCAATGCTTAGTTTAGTTAAAACTGCCAGCCAACATAAGGCTGCAATCCAATGTACACATACTTCTAAGTCTCACTGGACTCAAAAAGATTCACTTGTGAGAAAACATACATAGGCTTAGGCTGTAAAACTTAAGCCTGTCCTACTGAACTGTTTTTATTACCCTACCAATGATTAGCACAGTGGCCTTTTGATGGACATTTATGTGGTTTTGTCTATAAACAGTTACCGGTTTACTAAACTGAACAGGTGTGGGAAACAACCAGTAATGCCATTCTTTTTTCTTTTCTTTTCTTTTCACTTCAGGTGTTGGAGCTGCTCGTGCAGGAAACCTTACATTCATGGTTGGAGGAGTAGAACAAGAATTTGATGCTGCAAAGGAGCTACTCACATGCATGGGCTCCAATGTTGTCTACTGTGGAGAGGTTGGAACCGGACAGGTACAGTTTGGCTCACTCTTAAAACATCCAGTTTAACTTTTGTCTTTCTTTGGCCAACTCTTTTAAGAAATCTAGGGAGATTCTCCACTCTTCTCAACCTAAGTTTTACACCAAGATAGGCTAATCACTGAAGTTTCGTTCAACTCAACTTTACTATGTATATTAGCTTAGTTTTCTTAAACAAGAAAGTAAACTTTTTTTTCATATAGCTCTAGACCTCTTACTAAAGTTTTGTGTTTCTCATTCCCTGCTCATGTTCCAGAGAGGCATTTTCTTCATTTTTCATTGTGTGCATGTGTGCTTTTTGTGAACGAAGAAACATGCTAATAACATGTAGCTCAGTCACTTGATTCCTTCTGGAGGAAAAGCAGCTGAACAATGCTCCATGGTTTGTCCACAGCTAAAAAGTGTTTTGTCCATAGTTGGTTTGGTGTAATATCCAAAGTAGACTCTCTAGCTGGTAGCAAAGTCCTTGGGCTGTTTGGTACCATAAACAGAAGGTGCCAAATGGCAGTCCAGCATGCACTGTTGTAACTTAGCTTTCTGCATACAGGGATATTCTGCAACAGCATTATATCCCCAATTTCAAAATTGTCCACATGAGTGCTAAGATAATGGCATCTTTGCTTGCTGATAGTTCAGTGTATACAAACTTGGTTTCATGCACCAAATTATTAAAATACTGCATGTGTGTAAAGGTACATTTGAAACAAAAATGAATTTTATGTTTACACTTGGATCCTTTATCCAAGATACTTCATTATGTATATAGAGGAAGACTCCAAAAAACCAAAACATTCTGGTCATTTTGGATAAGGTATACTCAAACTATATACTACTGGATACTGTCTAGTATTTTTCCCTGTATGTAATTCATAGGGTCCTTTATCAACTCACGATAATCCAATGAATTTCATATGGTTTTATTAATTAAAGAACATTCAGAGGTTGCTTTGTTGGTTTCTTTTTCTGAAATTAGGCTTACAACACCTGGTATGCATCCAAGTAGTAACCAGAGCTGACCCTGATTAGTTTCCAAGATCAGATGGGATCGGGTGCTTTTTAGGTGTTTTCTACATCCCTTCTAAAAATACAGATTCAAGTACCCATTATATTGGAAGCACACTAGAGTTTCAGGATGAACCCACTTCCTGGATTGCAACAGGACTTTTTTCTTAGTAGACTTACAGGATTTTGTTGCAAATGAAACTACTGTGAATGTATATCTGAGCCATTTTTTGCATTTTTATTCCACAATGCATTAAAATATTGCTATCTTTACTAGGGAGTAGTTCTGGACTACCATCAATGCATTTGTAATAAAATTAAGTTCCTGTTGGATAGTTATCTGGGTGACAGAAATTCAGATCTAATTGAATTTTTTTCAGGCTGCAAAAATCTGCAACAACATGCTGTTAGCAATCAGTATGATTGGAACTGCTGAAACCATGAATCTCGGGATCAGGTGTGTAGAATTCTACAATATCTATTTTACACTGGCATTGTTTATGCGATTTGCTGATAGACTTTTCTATGGAGAAATTGTTTTTCAAAGAAATAGCATAACAACTGCATCCCAGGCTGAGTACAGATATACTTTAATTATTGTTCTCCTGAGCGTTACTTCTTTAACAGATTTGGTACCAGAGGCAGAAATAACATTGAAAGACTATGAATCGGATGACTTCATTTTTTTCAGCATATTCTTAATGTTTCTATGTTGCTGGCTGAGCATCCAGGTCTATGTTTTTTTAATACATGGGTGGGAGTAGGCAGTGAGGGAGGCTAATACCTCTTCTTTCTGTTTTTCTATTCACATTTGATCAGTTAGGGATTCCCGGGGCAGCTGCTGTTTACCTTGCCTGTTATAGTAGGGCACACAAAGTGACACTTCCATTGGCTCAGGCCCGTAGCCAGGATTTCGATTCGGGGGGGGGGGCTGAGTCTGAGTGAAAGAGGGTCTACCCTAGCAAACCTTTTGTATCTTACCCCAATACCCCCATGCATATGGGATATATTGAGTATGGTGATCAGATCATGATATGAATAAACATAACAGTTTAAATAATGCACCAGTAAGGCCTTTTCGCGAACCACCATGAGAATTTCGGGGGGGGGGGTTGAAGCCCCTCGAGCCCCCCCCCCTCCCCCGGCTCCATGCCTGCATTGGCTAGAACAGAATCCAGTTCTTTAGTGCAAACTTTATTGCACTCATTGACCTGCTTCTGCAAGCTGATACTCAGTCTTTTTCCTCCTTCACCATCTTTCCAGTGCTGATGCTACTAAAAAGTTCCAGCTAGATACAGTACTAAGATATAAAGGAGAGGTCGGGCAGGTGTATAAAGGGGCTTCTTTGTCAGAGACTTGTTTAATGGAAGCATGTTGAAATTTCAATAATGCAGTTTAATGCTTACTTTTTTTAAAAAAATGTAATTTTGATTGGATTTCAAGAAGCAGGGAAGTCTTTGTCTTAGGTCAGAAATATAATATGTAAAATACCTTGAAGGTGCCAGATCCTGTCTGATCTTGGAAGCTACTATGAGCTTGATAAACCCATTTCCATATCTTATATCTGCTAAAAGTAGGTTAAAGAGGCACTGCTTTGGGCCAAACTCTATAGCAGTGGTTCTCAACCTGGAGTCCCCAGATGTTTTTGGCCTTCAACTCCCAGAAATCCTAACAGCTGGTAAACTGGCTGGAATTTCTGGGAGTTGTAGGCCAAAAACATCTGGGGACCCCAGGTTGAGAACCACTGCTCTACAGGAAGCATGCTGTATACAACATCGGGTCACAAGTTTGACAGAAAAATAAAACCCCTCTTATAATCAAAAATATAGTTGTAGCTCATTGTGATAAGGATTTTAATATCTGAAGTTACTTTATTAGCTGTTCTGGTATAAAGATTTTTGTTAAAGGGTCAAGTTTGGAAAAGTATTTACAGCTGGACATTCACTATGTTTTTCATGCTATACAGGCTTTTGGCATTTCATTTAAATTTGCAATAGTTTGGCCTATCTATTATAGTGTATTGTGTGTTTGATTTTCCACTATAGAGCTTGCAAACATTTTAAACTGCACAGATTTAGATGTGGCCTTTCAACTGTTCACTAGGAACTGTATATAAATATCTTTAGATACAAAAGAATAAATTTGTTTTCTTTTTATAAGATAATGGGCAACACAAAGTGTGTGTATACATGTGTATGCATGCAAATATATAGGTTAACACATGCACACACATGCACCCCAAAGACAGGATAATGGATTCACATTTCCTCTTAATTACCATATCAAGATGCAGTTGTTTTATTGAATTGCCCTTGTCTCAGATGTTAGACTATCTTGACCTATTAAGATGTCATGTTGTAATTGAGATAAAAGAGGAATTTGCTTTGCATCACTGCTAATTGGTTTATCAATATCCTCTACCATTTACATTTTAAAATTGAGCATCTGTAAGATAGGGAAGCGTATCTTTAACAAGCCATAATAAAACCCATAAGGTGGTATACTGCCGTTGTAATTGAGGATTGTAAAGCTGTATCATAGTCAGCTTTAAGTCATGGTTTGCTTAATGAAAAATCAATCACCTATGACTACTCTGTATTTAGTTCAAGTTGAAACTCACATTTCCTGTTATAAAAAAATTCAGCAGGCATGGAGCACTGAAAGATCTCATGCTATAATAGTATGCAAACCTAATTGGGTTTGCAACCACTGTAGCATGCAAGTATCTCTGGCTTTTCATATCCAGGTTAATGTGAGAGGAGGGACAGATTCTGCAGAGATGGTATTGTGAATTTAGACTGTTAAAGTTCTGATTGATCTGATTAATGCCAAGGAGGTATATGTGGTAAGAGATCTAGCCTCACTGGCTTTGACATTTTCACCCTTTTTGTTGTCGAGGACTGGTATTTTTTCCCCTAACGTGTCAAGGACAAGTACAAATGTGTGCCATTTTATTATTCTGATAGTTTCCTGGAATCTCACAATGGACCTGCACACAGTGTTTCATAGGCTGATAGTGGTCCATGGACCACCACTCAAAGTAGCACAGATTTTAATTACCCAGCTTCTGCGAGCCTCTTTCCAGCCGTAATCTGCCCATGTTGCAAAATGTAATAATGACAGAGATATTACTGCCGAAAGAAGGTAAATGGTAGCAAAAGACTTTTCAAGACAGAATCTCTGCTACTGGATTTATGTGATTTGGTCTAGTTCCTCTAGAAGCTTGCATTAGGGTGAATGCTGGTGCACATTGGCATATCACATCCACTGCAAATATAGATGGCTCAACAAACCAAACACCTTGTGTCTGTGGTTTGATTCAATGTGTCCGAAGATGGACCAACAATACAAAGAAATAAATCCAAAACGAACCATGGTTTCTGTCACGATGCCAGGGCTCTGCCGATACAGAGGCAGAGATGAACCAAACAAACTTCCAGTTTGTATCAAACAGTTTAATTAAAGCAGCACTTACTTCCTGGCTGTTCTAATAGTCCAAAATATAAAACATAAAGATAGCACTCAGCCACAGAATATAAAACAAAAACTGATAGCAAACGCTACACTGTACTCAAAGGGTCCAGTCCAGTGGTCAAATGCTAAGAGTTCAGTGAGCAAAGTCCAGGGATCAGGAGTCTATACCAGGGGTCCTCAAACTTTTTAAACAGAGGGCCAGGTCACAGTCTTTCAAACTGTTGGAGGGCCGGATTATAATTTGACAAAAACATGAATGAATTCCTATGCGCACTGCACATATCTTATTTGTAGTGCAAAAAAGCACTTTAAACAATACAATAATTAAAATGAAGAACAATTTTAACAAATATAAAGTTATTAGTATTTCAATGGGAAGTGTGGACCTGCTTTTGGCTGATGAGATAGGATGGTGGTTGTGTGTTTTCAAGTCGTTTCAGACTTAGGTTGACCTTGTGCGAGGGCCGGGTAAATGACCTTGGAGGGCCGTATCCGGCCCCTGGGCCTTAGTTTGAGGACCCCTGGTCTATACCATAGTCAAAAGCCAGTACAGAGATTCAAGGTTCCAGGATTCAGGAGACAGGATACCAAAAATCCACATCTGAGGGGGAAACAGCAGCATCTACCACCAAGATAAAACAAATACTTTTCTCCCTTAATTGCTTTCACCCGTTAACTCTTACTTACAGATTACTTAGCCCTTTAGAACTAAGGCTTACATTAATCCTTCCATCACCAGCGGCTAGGCCTGCCACCACCAACCACCATCAACTGCAGAATATGATACATGACAGTTATTTGAGGGGGAGACTATCCAAAACACCAAGTTCAAATCTTAGTAAATGCACCACAAACAGGAAGTTTATGGTTCAGCCACCATATTGAGATCCTTATATCAACAGCGATTAACCACTGACACTAGCATGTTGGGTCACTAATGCTATCCCATGTTCTGTTCTGGTTTTGGTACTTTGGTTTTGTGTAAGCTGCCCCGAGTCCTTTGGGGAGATGGTGATGGGATTCAAGAATAAAGTTGTTGTTGTTATTAATTCAGAAATCTGATTTACCTACAGCAGAGTTTCTCAAACTATTCTCCCCCAGATGTTTTGGACTTCAGCTCCCACCATTTCTAACAGCTGGTAAGCTGGCTGGAATTTCTGGGAGCTGAAATCCAAAACACCTGGAGGAGCACAGTTTGGGACGCACTGATCTACTGATCTTCTCCATCTGTGTTATTACTCATACTAGGGAAATCTAAACAGTCTTACTTTCCAAAGCTGATGATAAATTGTACTTCTTTTTCTTTTCCTTCTGCCACACTCTACAGCAGTGGTTCTCAACCTGTGGGTCCCCAGGTGTTTTAGCCTACAACTCCCAGAAATCCAAGTCAGTTTACCAGCTGTTAGGATTTCTGGGAGTTGAAGGCCAAAACATCTGGGGACCCACAGGTTAAGAAACACTGCTCTACATACATAGCACATGCATATGTGAAAAGATGGGTTCAAGAAAATATTGCTGCTATTAGTTTGGCATATAAAACAAGGGTTGAGGGTTTATTTTTATATGTACAATTAGCAGTGAGATATATTGCATAACATCTTTCACCAAAGTTCATGGCTTTTTATTGGTTTTCCTTTATATTGATGGATATCATCGTATCCATATCCAGCTCTGAGCAATATATCTTATACCTGATCAGATCAATGATCTGCCTAGCTCAGTCTATAATTTCTCCACTCCTGGCACTTTGTTGTTAGGCTTTCAGGTCGAGATTTTCCCCAGCTCTGTCTGGAGATGCCAGCATACAAGCTGTACTACAAACTCTCTCCTACAATTTCCTTAAACACATCCCAGTTTAATTCACCTAGAAAATATGAGATATCTGCTTTCTTTACTATTTTATCTGTAATAGCTCATTAAACCATGCATCTATTGGTTATGAAATTGAGCAATTTACATGTGATAACCATTTTCCACTGAAGT